CTCTCTCTCTCTCTCTCTCTCTCTCTCCGTGTGTGTTGTCATGTTCGCTATACACATCATCATCAATAGTGTCATCATCATCATCATCAATAGTGTCATCATGACGAATAACACCATCAATAGTATCATCACCATCATCATCATCATCATCATCATCATCATCATCGTCGTCATCATCAATAGCGTCATCAAGACCGTTCGAATCATCATCATCGTCAATATCACCAACATCATGACCGTTTGCATCATCAACAGTAGCGCCATCATTATCATCATCATCACCCGCTTTCTACAAGCTCTTATTCTTAGAGTCCGAGTTTCCTCCTCCCGACCTTGCAGCTCGTCGTCTCCCCCTCCTCCTCCTCCTCCTCCCCCACGGCCTTGTTGATGCGCCATCAACCATCGACATCCAAACCCTCCTCCACCTCCTCCTTCTTCTACTCCGCCTCCAGCCACTACCCCACACTTTACTTCATTAATCTCCATGAGCTTTTGACAACGCCCTCGTAGATCCCGAGAAAAAAATGATCAACATTTTACAGAAGCTTGTGGAGCTTAGACATGGCGCTTCACTCGGTCCATTTCTCTCCACATCTTGCCTCTCTCTCTCTCTCTCTCTCTCTCTCTCTCTCTCTCTGTGTAAATATATATATATATATAGATTAGAGTAAAAGGAGACGAGGAAGGAGAGGAGGAGGAGGTGGAGGAAAGGCGAAGGAAGCGGGATGGACGAGGAGAGGAGGAACAAGAGGAGGATAATGAGCTCACCTGGGCCTGCGACAAAGGGGATGGACGTCGGTTGTAGGGCAGGGCGGGGCAACGAAGGCGAGGAACTTCAGCTGGAGATTCGGAGCACTCGAGCCGCTTCTGGCGGCCTAGGAACGGTCCAGTCGAGGGGTAGGGACGTCGGCTGGTGGACAGGGCCGAAAAAAAGAAAAAAAAATCTGCGCCGTCTTTTTTTGTTACCGTTAAGCACAAAAGGGGACCCGGTGCCAGCCTGGGGCCCAACCCAGTGCAAATTAAATTTGCGCTGGGCTGCCCGGTGGGCCGTCCGGGTGACCCGCCCGGCCGGGCAACCCGGGCGGGTTCCGGGCAGGTCCGAACCGACCCGGGCGGCCTGGCTGGTAACCTAGTATATATCGTCAAATAGAACTGCCCGGTAAACCGTAGGCAGAGAGGGAGAAGAGGACAACAAACGAGGGGCTGTGACAAACTGTTTCGTCGGAGTTTACCGACTCATCAGGAGGCTGAA